CCACTGGTGAAAAGGTCTCATCATAATCAACTCCCGGAGTTTGAGAATAACCCTTTGCAACCAGTCGTGCCTTATAAGTGTGTACATTACCATCCATATCGGTCTTCTTCTTGAAGATCCATTTGCACCCAACTATCTTACGATCAGGTACATTGTCAACCAAGTTCCAAACTGATTGTCATACATGGACTGTATCTCGCTATCCATAGCCTCTTTCCATTTAGCAGCCTCAGGGCCTGCCATGGCTTCCGTGTAGCTGTTAGGCTCATCCAGATTTACCAGTGTGTTATCACTGATAAGTGTCTCACCTTCTGCAGTAATATGAATACCATAATAATGCCCAGGTGCATTCCTAACTCTGGTGGAACGCCTCAGAGGTATAGATTCTTCAGTCGGCTCAACAGGAGTTTTCTCCTCAGGTTGAGGGCTAGGGTTTGAGGTTCCTTCACCACTTGACTCTTGAATTTCCTCAAGGTCAATTTGCCTCCCACTATCTCCTTGGCTCATGAATTCTCTCTCTCGAAAGAATCCTCTTCTTGCTACAAAGACCATATTATCACTGGGTCTGTAGAAGATGTAACCAAAGGATTTATGTGGGTAGCCGATGAAAATACACCTTTCGCTTCGGGGTTCGAGCTTATCGTGAGTCTCGCGTCTCACGAAAGCCTCGCAACCCCAAATCTTGATGTGGTCTAGATTGGGAACTTTTCCAGTCCACACCTCGTGAGGTGTTTTGGCAACCTTCTTTGTAGGGACTAGATTAAGGATATGGGCGGCAGTCTCTAAGGCATACCCCAAAATGAGATTGGTAGCGAAGCTCGACTCATCATGGAACGAACCATGTCCAATAAGGTCCGATTGCGCCTCTCAGCTACACCATTCAACTGTGGTGTCCTAGGAGGTGTCAATTGTGAGACAATCCCACATTCCTTAAGATAGTCAAGGAACTCAGTACTAAGATACTCACCACCACGATCGGATCGAAGCATCTTAATGTTCTTGCCCAACTGATTCTCCACTTCTTGCTTAAACTCTTTGAATTTCTCAAAGGTTTCTGACTTATGCTTGATTAGGTAGACATATCCATATCTACTAAAATCATCAGTAAAAGTCACATAGAACCGATTAGCATCTCTTGTGGCGGTTCTGAAGGGTCCACACACATCCGTGTGTATGAGGTCCAACAAACCTTCACCCCTAGCACAAGTGCCAGTAAAAGGTGACTTTGTCATTTTACCAAGCAAACAAGCTTCACAACTATCATCTGACTTTAGGTCAAATGACTCCAAGACTCCATCCTTTTGGAGTTGGCCTATGCGTTTCTTGCTTACATGTCCAAGACGACAATGCCATAAGGATGCTTTATCTAAGCTAGTGGAAGAGTTAATACACAATACATTATTTCCTAGATTATCTACAACAGATACAGTTTCATACACGCCATCACAAGGTAATACACAATACATTATTAAAGAAAGCGTCAATACTACCATTATTATTATCAAAATAAAAGGTAAAACCTTGTTTATACAATGCATGAAAGGAAATAACATTTCTTGCCATTTCTGGCGAATAATAACATTTATTCAAATCTAATGTAAACCCACTATTTAGCACTAAGGAATAAACTCCTATCTTGGTGACAGGTGAAGCTTTCATGTTCCCATGATCAAGTTTATCTTTCCCTGCTCCACATTCTCACTTCTTTTTAGTCCCTGCAAATCACAACATATGTGAATACCACAACCTGTATCAAGGACCCAAGACTTAGAATGAGGTGAGTTATTAGACAATATAGTGTATATACCTGCATGGTTGGGTTTTACTTTCCCATCCTTCAAATCTTGCTGGTACTTTGGGCATTTTCGCTTCCAGTGCGGCTTTTCATGGCAATAGAAGCATTCAGCCTCATTAGGGTTAGCAGAAGGAGTGACAAAAACTTTCTTGGTTTTGCTTGAAGAGGAGCCTTCAAGGGTCTTACCCTTGGTACCCTTAGAAGGGTTCTTTCTCTTCTTCCCTTTGCCATGCCCATTGCCAAGACATTGGCCGCAGTTGGAGTAGGTAGGAGTAGTAACAACCGACTTACCCTTTAGACCACTTTCGGCGGTCTTCAAGAGTCCTTGAAGTTTGCTGAGGGTGACTTCTTCCTTGTTCATGTGATATGTCATGCGGAATTGATCATAACACGATGGCAAGGAGTGCAAAATGATGTCTATTGCTAACTCCTCAGGGAAGTTCACATTCAGCTTCAGTAAACGGTCCACATACCTTTGCATTTTCTGCATGTGGCCCGTGATGGGTTCACCATCCTTCATTCAGGTTGTTATCATGGAGGAGATTATTTCATATCGCTCTTGACGAGCACTTTGATGGAAGCGGTCCATCAAGTCCTGGTGCATCTCAAAAGGATAATAGTCGTCATAGGACTTTTGGAGCTCGGCTGTCATGCTGGCCATCATGATGCATGCCACTTTTGTAGCATCTCTTTCATGTACCTCATATTCAACAAGCTCTTCAGGAGTAGGAGTTGGCTCGGGTACCTTCAGCTCCTTTTCGAGAACATATTCTTTGTTCTCATACCGAGTGACCATCCTGATGTTTCTGATCCAATCTGTAAAGTTGGACCCATCAAAGATGACTCTCCCACAAAGATTCATGAGAGAGAAGGAGCTAGTAGGGTTTGAGCCAGAAGCATTGTTATTGGAAGACATCTGAAAAGAAGAGGGAATAGATTAGATTAGATATAGAGATAGTCCTTAACAAAACACCCAAATGTAATATTAAGGCTAGGACCCAAACACAATATTTTATAACTTAGAAGAGGGATGCCGTAATCTAAGCTATAAGATATTTGAAGGTAGGTGAATGACGATTCACCAATTTCCACCATGAAAAACGAAATATTTAATTAAAGTTTTAATTGGTTTAGAAACTCCTAGATTCTTTGAGATTCATTGAACTTTCTTCAATGGCATGTTTCAATCTCGAGTGTGCCCTTCAAGTTTTGTGACTGGGATGCCGAGGATCACAAAACAAGGTGTGAAGTAACCATGCAAATTACTTGGTACCCTTAATGTATTACCCCTCAATCAATGTGTCGGTTAACCACACACGCTCCATCGATACTATGATAAACATTAAGTCACCCTTTACCTACCTTGTTAAGTTCAAGTTAGTGTGCCGGTTAACCACACACGCTCCACTAACGACTTAAACAAAGTGTGAAGTGTAATTTCATGGATTAGCACCTTATTCACATTTTCCTAAAATAACTAAGATTGGGAATTCAATAAAGTTTAGTTACTTTAGTATTATCATTATACTTTTAATGAGAATTTATAAGTCCTTGTCCTACCCGTTCGGCTAACGACCTTCCACCGATCAAGGAAGCGGTGGGTGAGAGTGGACACCTATTAAGTTGCCATTTTATAGGCAAAAACCTTATACCCCCTTTATAGACCGGCTTCGTGAATGAGGCGTACTAGCAGTAAGACGACTTGATCTTATACATATATAAATATTATTAAACTTATAATATTATAAAGTATAAGGGTTGAATTTTAACTTTTAAAATTCTAGGGGTTGGAACTAAAGTTTTTAATACGACTTTACATGTTCCAAAACTTGAGGGCAAGTTTTGTAAACTTTCAAAACTTTTCATTTCTCATAACTTATGAGTTAATGGTTATTAAAAATGAAGACTCTTCATTTTTTGTAACCTATGTGTTCTTTTAATGGTTATTTATAAATGTGACTTTTGGTTATCCATAACTTAAGAACTAGTTATGGACTCCATTAAAACACATAGAGATCAAGAATTAATCTAATCAATTATTAGCACATAATTTCTATGATATTCTAAACTCATATGTTTATGAGTGTTCATATCAAAAATTTCAAGAATCGTAAGTACATATACAAAACTTGAAATTTTGATACGAGCTTTTGAATAAAACTTCGATTTTTCAAGTTTTTATTTTATTTTTTTTGCATCAAGTATCAAATAAACAAACCAGACACTGATACCACTGATGGGTTTTTGAGCATTCTAACACTCCTATGGTGTACATGCAACCCTAAAAACCTTGGATCTATGTTTGACTAAGATACATGCAAATAATTATTTTTCCAAGGTTCTTATCGTAACTAGCATGGCATGGGATACTTGAATCAAATAAAACTAGTAGAATTACTTACCTTGTAGTAGTAGTTGATTGCTTGGAGTTTGAGAGCCTAGCACCAATAATGTGGATGCCTCAAATGGAAGTCACAAATCACCACAAACTTGGAAACTTGAGAGAATAGTCACAAACTTCTTGAAATCGGCCCTCTTGGTTTACACACATCAACTAGTGCGATTTCAAGAACCAAAGCCTCCTTTATATAGTGTGGTGGATTAGGGTTACATCCATGTAAACCCTAATACCCATGTCTTTTCATTTCCATGAGATCCATGGGTTAAAGCTCCATGGAGTATCCATGGACTTTCCATGCAAGCCTAGCCCATTCCAAATAAGCATTAGCCCACACTATATAAATACAAGAGCCCATATTTAATTAGTCATACTTTTGATCTCTAAATTAATTCTAAATTAATTATAGATCAACACTAATTAAATAATATGATTTTATATTAATATATTAGGACTTATAATATATTAATAAATCATAACTTATACTATTCTCAAACGATTATCCATATATTGTTCAGGTGAAGTGCAACCCAAATGGACCATGCCGGGTCGGGTCAAGTACATACCAAATATAGTTATGGACTTAGACACTATATCCAACACTTGTGTGATAAAAAAGACAAAGATCTTGGGGGTTTTACATACAGTCCCTTCCAAATCCGGACTGAGAGTGAAGATGAGGCATAAGTTACGAAAGGGCAACTCCAATCCCTACATGAAAAGATTGACCAACTGATTCTCTCTAACAAAGCTTCCTCTACTGATGCATATGCTAAAGCAGCTGTTGAGTCTATCTTTGAACAAATCATGAAGGAACATTCTGCTACTGTTGCAACATCAAATAAAGTTGTCGCCGATTCTGTTGAGGTTTGCAAGTTTACGACCGAAAAAGTAGATAAACTAATTGAAGAATCTACTACTTTCATGGAGAACTTCCAAACCACTTTCAATTCCAACACCACATCAGCAAATGAAGCATTGAAGAGTCTGGTCTTTCTCTTCAAGACTGAGAAGACGAAACTACAAGAGATTCGTACTGGTCTTAAATCTGACCATGAATCATTTCAAGCCAATATCTCGTCATGTGAAGCTGTATAACTGATGTTACTGGCATGCTATCAGATATCGTTGAGACCAGAAACTCCATGATCACCATCACAATGCGTAAGCATCTGGTAGGAAAAGTGAAGGCCAGTCTTCGCCATGCTTCACCGCCTTGAAGGTGTTTCTAATCAATCCTTTCATCCGAAACAAGGGGAGAAATTGTGGCTGGTGGATCACGAAAGAAGGACCTAAAGCTCTAGTCAAGCCTGTTGTCAAGAATGAACCCAAGGGCAAGGAAAAGCTATTCCGTGACGACCCAATTCTTGATAATGAAGACGAATAAGAGCCTAATAAAGAAGAGCTAAAAAGACGAAAAGTTCGTGAAGCTGAACTGGATGAGCACCAGCGAATCATCCGTGAAGCTGAAGAAAATGAAAGGGCTGAGAAAGAAGCATACGCTACTGTTCAGAGCAAAAAGATCTTGTTCCCCAAATGGACCTTGAAGCGAATCCAGCATGATGTTGTTGATCTTCCAAGCCAGTATTGGTTAGAACCAGTAGTTTCGTTTGATCTTCAGAACACACGAGACTCACAACTGGATCTGCCAATTACTCCAAAAGCCTTCAGATTTCGTTCTTTTGTTACAGTGGCGAACGCTCCATTCGCAGACAGTGAAGTTGATCATATTCTATTCTCGTTTTATCTGAAGCATATGAAGCCACAATATGAAACCTGGTCATTGAGAAAAATTACCGGTGTGAAAGTTACAGGGGCCGATCGAGACTGATAGCTTTCTGAACGCAAAGTTCAAGGTGGCAAGAGGTTCAGTCAGCCAATGCTACGAATTTACTCTCGCAGATCTTCCATGCCTTAACCCATATGACTGGTTCGTTCTTTATAACATATGGCGGAAGAAAAAAGAAAAATATGAACCTGTCATGTCTCATCTCAAGCACATGATAACGTCCTATGTTCAGGAGATTGGGGAGATGGATGTTGAGGTTGTTGTTGTACTGAGAAAGAAGCCTTCTACTGTTCGTAAGGAAACTCCCAAGGATTTTGAAAAGTTGAAGCCATGGAAGCTTTACAGTGGAGATTGGTTCATGGTTTATTCTGCTAGGGAACGAACTAAAGCAAACTTTCACAAAGGATGCTTCTATCTTTCTGATAAGCATCTCTATACCACATCCTTCCTTGAGCACATTTTGTACCAGGTGAGCAAGTTCAAAGGGAACAACAAAGATGATATCAAGTGCTTCTCAGATATGGTTCTATGGTACATTGAGATTCGCCAAGCAATTTTTGCTATCATTCCTAAGGTATATGATGTGCAGAAGCGAATCCAAGGCTGAAGGGTTCTGGCCTCAATTGACGCAAAGGGGAGATTGTTGGGTATTTAGTGTTGCGTCATTGGGCCTATTAGTTAGACATTTGTATTATCGAGTTGGGCATGTCTACTCGTTATTAATTCTAGGGGTTAGAGTATTTAAGGTGCATGCATGCATCGTATTTCAAAACGCTGATCTTTTACTTTGTAACCCTAATCACGCCTCTACAGTAGCAATTCTTCATAGAGTTCTTCTGAGGCGTGACGTTTAATCATTCGAAATTCTTGAATCTTTACTGTGTTCTTCTTTTACCTGTTCTTGAATCTAATCGATCATCAAGGATATTAATCCTAACACTTCCAGTCCCACTATTCTTGAGGGCCTAAACATTTTATGATGGGATACGTGCCCTCTTTGCCAATATTGGTTGGGAGGTACTTTTAGACCTTGATTTTACTAAATCACCTATATTAACCAAAGAGTTCCTTGTTACCCTTAGTGAAGTTGATCATGAGGGTAACTTCACATTCCGTTATTTCGGAAACACTTACTATCTTCATGTAGACCAACTCTACAACCTCTTCAATGTGCCTTTCACAAACCATTTTCTGCACCCCATCAATTTTAATTTATCAATGTTTTTAAATTCAATTATTGCTCTGGACACCTACGACACTTCCGCATCTTATCAGACCAATATCATCCACGTAGTCTTAAAAAATGGCCTGAAAATCATCTATAAATCCTTTTTGCACAAGTCGAAACCAAAAAGGTTGGCAAAGGTGAGCTTGAAATACTATGGAGCATGGTGACCGGTGCGCACCGCCTGTATTTTGGTGACTTGATTGCGAAACGATTTCACAAAGTCATTCGTCTGCAATCTAGGTTTAGTAGAATTTTTTGTGGCGGTTTAATTACTTTAATCGCCGATGCTGTTTCTGATCATCTTCCCCCAGAGTATTAGTTCTTTGCGGGTGAGATTTTGTGTCTTACTTAAAGAACCTTAAGTATATGCATATGTGTCGACTGCCCCAGGTGGCTATGCTTGGATGCATGGACGTGCTGGATACCTTCCGGTCACCGACCCTTCCACTATCGCCTTAGTTGATTCCATCAGTTCCACAAGGTGGGTTCTCGAATCCTACCTATCAGCTGACGATTATTAACCTAAACCTCAGCAGCTGGATATCCCATGACATCATTCTACTCACCCCTCATCCTTTTGTCGCCCTGATTCCCCCTCAACCTCTATTGTTTATATGGATTATATGGATGCAACCCCTCTCCGAGCCATCCACGATGACTACAACGATCAACCTGACCCTATGTAATCTGATTTTTCAGGATGCGTCCGCATCCACCCCCACCATTTCATATTGACCCAAACACCCCTCTAACCTACCAGAATTACCTTAACCTTTAGCAGGAAATCGCCAACCTTCCCCTCGATTTTCAACGCGTTGATTCCACCCTCACAGGTTTTCAAGATGAGTTTCACAGCTTTCGTGAGGAGATGTTCCGCCAATTTTCGCCTCCATCCTCTCCTCGGTAGACATTTCCTTCTCCTTCCCAAGCATTGAGGACAATGTTTTGAATTAAGCTTGGGAGGGAATTTTTCAATCCTTGTACAAATTTTTGTTTTTTATGCATTAGTTTTAAAAAAAAATCAAAAAAATTAAAATTCCAAAAAGATTTTTCATTTTGTCTTATTTTTTATAAAAAAACGAAAAAAAATCAAAAACCTAAAAATATTTACATTTTTTTTTGGTATAGTTTTCCTTTTATTAAAAAAAACAAAAGTAGTGTCTTCTTTTCTACATATTTGCATCTGCATATACATAAAAACGAAACCAAAAATATTTTTTATTTTGTTTTGTTTAAAAAATACGAGATTAAGATATTCTTTACATTTGATAGCTCTGTGAAGATGGAAAATGAAATTCTGAAATGACAGGATTGATAATGAAAACGTATAAGCAGAGTCTATAACTAGGGGACGCAAAACACCGTGATCTGAGACGTCAGTTGTAGAAAATCAAAAATAGCATACTGAAACACAATGTGGGCGGTAATAACAGTTTCAAAATTATTTGTTTTTGAATGTTTAAAAAGAACCTTGATCGACAAGTATGAACCCATAGAACATGGCCATATTTGATTGAAACGCGTTACCCTGGTTGTAATAGAGAACCTTATATAAGATCCACACAGTCAGCAAATAATTGAAGAAGCAAGCAAAACTGTCATATTCGAGCTCGTCGCTGGTACAAACTGTCAAATCTGGTACCCGAGTGATTATATAGCACAAAAAAAAACTTTGCAAAAGTTGATTGAAGAACTCAAGCTAAAGACAAAGCTACAGAATTCAAGTTCCATCAAGTCAAGAGGCACAACGAAAAAAAATCTGGCGCAAGGAAGAACTGTGTGATACGATATTTGTCGTTCTCAGAAAAATTGGAAGCATAGAGCTCTGACCCCTACGAGAGGGTTGACTACTTCAACGGAAGCTGATTTGGTCATGCCGAGTTCTGAAGGATGCGTCGATTCTGGTTTTTAACTATCTAGTCTTGAGGACATGAGATTCTGAATTGTGTTATTTTCGCTTGCAAGACTAATTAAGGTATAAAGTTTAAATAAAAGTTATGGCCACTATATCGGGTTACATCGTCGTGAGTCTTCCTAACTTTGGGCGTCTGTATACATGGAAGGTGTTGAGATGATCTTCTAGGTAGAGATTCCATTGGAGCTTCATCGGTGTAGAGTCTGATCATAAAAAAAGGATGAGAAAAGAATAAGAAAAAATAGAGTGCTTGTTTATTTTTTCGTATCATTGTTTATTTTTCATTTTTTTATGTTTTTGCATGCATGTTTTATTCCTTGTTTATCTATTGATATTGTTAGTTAGGTTTCCCTTTTAGTTTGTCAGTTTCTTTTAGGTTATTCCCACATTACCCTTTTGCCTCACATCTGTTTCTGATGTCTATCATTTCCTTACTTGAGGACTAGCAAGGTTTAAGCTTGGGAGGTTTGTTAGATGCATTTTATATGTATGTTTTAACATGATTTTTTCAGTGTTTTCTTATAAATTGCTAACTATCTCCCTTATATTTCTATAAATTGTGTATTTAATAGTATTTTCATAGAATGTCCGTTCTACTCATTTTTGTTATGATTTTCAGGGAAAATTGGAGCACTACGAGAATATAGGATGTGTTAGATGGAGCATTGGAGTCAAATTGGAGTTGGAACTAAAGAAGGATGTTGAGGAACGACTTAGACTTCTTATAAGGAAGAATCGCGACAAAACCACGGCGAACAAGAAGAAATGCGAATGCAGATTTCCATATATGCGATTGCATATATTGATCGAAGTTTGGAGCAGCTCAACAATTTAATCTGAATGAAAAAGTCAAAAAATGAGATCATGGATTCCCAAAAATGCGATCCGATATTTATCTTGAAGGCTTAAAAAGATCAGAAATGGCATTGTACTTCTTTAAAGTGGTTCGTGACACGTTTTCGTAAAAAATGTGATCGCATTTCCCATATATGCGATCACATAATATTATGTATTCCTAATAAGCCTATAAATAGAGCCCCATAACCCTTCTGTCAAGGCTGATTGTGATTCCGGACGATAGAGAGATGATTTTCTGAAGATTCCAAGTGTCAAACGAAGATTTGAAGAACCTGATTCAATTTGTATTATTAGTTTAGCAAAATTTA